CTTATCCACCCTTATTGAAGGGTCTTGGACACTCCCTTAAGCCCCTCATTCGAACTCCCAAGGATAAGGGAGAAAGAGAGAGCCACACAACCAAGAAAGCAAGAGGAAGGGGAAGCTGCCGCAGGTTCGTTTTCCAGTGCGTAAGGTTACTTGTTTGCTTCATATCTCGAGTTATACACATCCAAATAAGGCGTGCGAGATACCCACAGAAAGCTCTCAAGACGAGGAATCCGTGAAGGTCTGGTTTGCATCAATCGGAGTAGTGGAAGGCTTTCAAATCGTCCGAGCAAAACACAACCTCGCGGAATACGTTTTTGTATTCAAAGTAAGTTTGAATCCAAAACCTTCCTCTCTATTGTCTAAACCATATAAATGATTGAAGAACTATTATACACTGATTGAAGTGTATAAAATGTTATTATAAAGTGACTTTAATTGTTGGAAAAGTTAGATACTAATCTAGACAAAACCTTGAAAGGTTAGGGAACGATTTCGTCGGGAAACACCCGTTCTAGGGACTGTTTTTGTGTCTTCGGTTAGGAGTTGAACTAGCACTTTGAAGAGGCTGTTTAACACTCAATTCCAAGCAAGGAATCAGTCCTCAATCTTTCTTGGCCGAGGCTTTGGTCATTGGATCGAGAAGGAAAGTTTTAAAGCTCATTTGAGGTGAGGATGACCGACTATATTGCTTATAATCCTTGGGTTAATTTCATAAGATTACCTAAGATAATTAAATGTGATTTTCATGGATTATTAATGATTAATAATGCCTAATGAAAATATTGTTGTTTATTAATAGAAGATGCATAATATACAATTTTATGAGTAAATGGTGTATAGTTATGCATTGTAAGAATGATGATATGATGAATGTATAAATCATGAATTTTTGTGATGAAATATACTTTTACTTCATGTATAGAAATCATGAATGGATAAAAGTGATATTTTGATATTGAGATTAAATCATATATGGATTTGGAAATTCATGGGAATGAGCCCTATAACTATGAATTAAAGAGCTTGGTGGCTTGAAGACAAATGGATTAGTATCGATTTTACTAGTCGGAAATATTAGTGTGAAAGGTGATAGAACAAATCCTAAGGGCTTGAACTGTGAGAGGGGTACACCTTAAGTAGTCTTATGAGATGTCTTAAGGTAGAAATGGGTAAACGCTAAGTTACCGTAGGAGTAGGCCTCAAAGGCTACTCAGAATAGAGGAACTCTAGGCATAGAACTTGCTTAGTGAACTAGTATCGTGACTAGAGGAAGCCTCTAGCACGATGAAGAATGACTGGAGGAAGCCTCCAGCATTCGTGTAGGACGACTAGAGGAAGCCTCTAGCGTAACGTAATGTGACTAGAGGAAGCCTCTAGCACGATGAAGAATGACTGGAGGAAGCCTCCAGCATTCGTGTAGGACGACTAGAGGAAGCCTCTAGCGTAACGTAATGTGACTGGAGGAAGCCTCCAGCACAACGTATGTAAGGTGATTAGAGGAAGCCTCTAACACCAAGTGGAGTGACTAGAGTCAGCCTCTAGCACGACAAAACATGACTAGAGGAAGCCTCTAGCATGGTAAACTGATATAGATGGGTGTGGCTTGAAGTCACGGGGGAAGGGTTAAATGTTTTCAAAGTAAACATGAGCCTTCGGCCGATTACTTGACTTTATATATAAAGTAAGTATATTTGTAAAGAGGGTAACCACGAGTTATGACCTATATTGTAATATCACCCTATTTGAGGGTCTTGGAAATTGAAACGTTGATTATACTTAGTATAGTTGTCATTGTACTTGTCAAATGCTTCCAAGTACTGACCTCCCCTTCACGGGGGAGGCCACCTCACAGTTTCAGGTAGGACTTGAAGGTTGCTACCACGCCCGTTGCTTCGGGAAGATCAAAGGAGGAGGACGTGGTTCGTGCTTCTTCCGTTTCTGTTTTAAACAACTACAATAATGCTCATGGAAATTATTTTGAATACTATTTGGGGGCTTGTATGCCCATGTTTGCCACGTGTGGCTTGAATACGTGTATTAATGTTTCCGCTGCTTTAAATGAATATTTTACATTATGTTTGTTTATGGATGTACTATGTGTGAATGGTATTCAAGACGCCTAGTATAGTATGGATGAGTTGGACTGCGGTTGACTATTCGTACTGTACGGCGGGTTGTTGACGTGTCCGGTAGGTCCGGGGCGTGACAATTTAATTGGTATCAGAGCCTTAGTCCGTAAACTTCATAATGAAGCTTCAAAATCTCTTTTTGAAAAACGAATTTGAAAACCATGAGCATAAAAGTTTTGTACTTATAGAACTTTTGGTACTTGAGTTGCGAAGTCTCTAATTGTTAAGATGGTACCCTTAACAATTGGTATGGCGGTGATTTGAGCCAAAAGATATCTTTAAGTACCTATCCGTCACTTGACATTTGATACGAGCCTAATGGCTCATTCTAAACTTCTTTCAGAAATGGAACGCACCGGTAGAGTGACTCGACGGAACCCGACTGGCCAGGTGCTGGGAGGATCCCAACGTGGCAGTCAGGGGGGATCAAGAGAGTCTGGGGGACAGGGCCGAGCAGGCCACTCGCTGACCGTGAGTGACGGTCACGTGGAAACAATAGATGAGCACTATGAGTCCGAGGAGGATTCAACTTACCAACCGGGAACTGAGCCGGTTGACACCCCATATGATGGGGAACACGATGATGCTAGTGATGAGAGTGATGATAATGACGCTCTTGAACGGATTGAGGAATTGCTCCGGCAATACCAACAAGATCGCCAAAGGCGCCGGGCAAGGCGTGCTTTGGAAGGGGCTTCGAGGAGAGGAAGCCGCGCGACTCCTAGGGAGAGCATTGAATTCCGAGGGGTCGAGGTGCCGAGGTTCCTATCATAAGGATCTCAAAATACCTAAAGGAGGCAAGGGACTTGGGATGTAAACCGTTTGATGGAACGGGAGACATCTCCGTGGCGGCCGAGTGGATCAAGAGATTCAATGAAGCGGCCCTTGATATGCGGCTGCCACCCCATATGAAGATGAGAGTGGCAACAAGATTGCTAGAAGGAATGGCGTCCACGTGGTGGGACGGTGTCAAAGGGAAGTACGGTGAAGCGGTCACTTGGGAGAACTTCAGGCAAGAATTCTTTAGCCAATACTACTCCGACTTCGAGGTGAACTTGAAGAGGAGGGAGTACACGAATCTGACCCAAGGAGGGGAATGCACGGTGAAGGAACTTGAACACAAGTTCAGAAAGCTTGCTGAGTTCATACCGGAGTACATTTGTGATGAAAACCGGATGGTGAACCATTTCTGGGATGCCTTGGACCTTGACATACGCGAGAGGGCAACACAATTGCCTAATATGACGTTTAGTCAAGTGGTTGAACAAGGCTTGAAGGGAGAAAAAGAGTGGGAGGAAAGAAAGCGAAGAAACGCCGAGGAGGCAAAGAAAAGGAAATGGGAGAACCATGGCCCCCAGGGTTCAAACAAGAAGGGGGATCACGGGGGAGGAGGATCCTTCAGGGCACCCGCACCACCATCAAGGGGGAATCCCAACATGGGGGGGCAAAACTCGGGGTTACAAGCCTCGACGAAGCCTAAGTGCAGGAATTGCAAGAGAAATCACGAAGGCAAATGTCGTGATCCCCCACGGTGCTACCAATGCGGAGATACGGGGCACATAAGGCCTAATTGCCCTCAACTTGGTGGGAACCGGTCATCAGGACCAAACGTGGCAACCACGGTGAGTAGAAACCGGGGTGGGGCACCCAATGCAAGCACGAACCCCGGCGGGGCAAGTACAAGCAACGCACCCTCCGTGAACCAAGGAAGGACTCAAGCGAGAGTGTACGCAATGACCGAGGCCGATGCTCGGGCTAATCCCGACTCCGTCGCAGGTAATACACTTATTCTGGTCATTTCTAGGCTTACTTTGATCATATACGTCGTTGGGATTGAGTACGGGCCACCCCGGGGTCAAACCGGGTGAGTTAGGCCTAATCGGGCTGGAAACAGCCACTGCTGGCCAGGCACGCCCGCAGGCACGCCGTGCCTGGCATCGTGCCTGGAAGGCAGTGGCACCCGAAGAAAAGAAGAAGAAAAAAAAAAAATTTGGGCCAGGCACGGCCGCAGGCACGCCGTGCCTGGCGTCGTGCCTGGAAGGCAGTGGCGCCCCGAAGAAAATTTGGCCAGGCACGGCCGCAGGCACGCCGTGCCTGGCACCGTGCCTGGGAGGCAGTGGCTGGCAGGGAGAATCCTGTGCACGCACGGCCGTGCGTGCCACCCAGGCACGCCGTGCGTGGACCCCCGGCAACCGAAAACTCATTTTTTCGCTCCGTTCTTCTACGTTTGGACCCCCGATTGATTCCAAACAGTAGTATGAACCTAATAACCTCCTAATGATGTGTAAAAACATTAGAAAAGGTATCCCACATGACTTATAAATGTAGGAACACTAAAGATTAATGGGAAGCATGCGCAAATCCTTATCGATACCGGAGCGCAACGCTCATTCGTAAGTGAGGCGTTCGCCGAGGGCTCAGAGATACAATCAATACCAATGACGCGAACTTTAGTGGTATCAACACCACTAAGGGAAGACGTTGAAAGAACCTAGTACTATCAGTCTTGTATGGTGGAAATCGGTGGCCAAACCTTGACGTGTGATTTCGTACCGCTGAGTATGATGGAGTTCGATGCAATCCTAGGGATGGATTGACTAGAAAAGCATCATGCTAGGGTAGATTGCGACACAAAGGTCTTGGGACTCGAAGGCAATGATGGGGATACCCTACGCTTCGAGGGGGACCGAGGCAAATCAAACGGCTGTATCATATCCGTTGTGAGAGCGAGAAGTATGATGAGAAAGGGATGTCACGCTTATCTAGCATAAGTGGTTGACAAGACCAAGGAGGAAACGAACATCGACGATGTGAGGGTGGTTTGTAAGTACCCGGATGTCTTCCCAAAGGACCTGCCGGGGCTTCCACCTGATAGGGAGATTGAATTTGTGATCGAGGTCGAGCCCGGCACCAAACCAATCTCCATACCGCCATACCGTATGGCACCCGCTGAACTTAACGAGTTGAAAACCCAATTGCAAGAGCTTTTGGATAATGGCTTCATTAGACCAAGCCACTCCCCGTGGGGAGCACCGATTCTTTTTGTGAAAAAGAAAGATGGGACACTTCGAATGTGCATTGACTATCGTCAACTGAACAAGGTCACAATCAAGAATAGGTATCCTTTGCCTAGGATCGATGACTTGTTTGATCAACTACGAGGAGCAACTGTGTTTTCAAAGATTGACTTGAGGTCAGGGTACCATCAATCGAGGGTTAAGGAAGATGACATACCAAAGAGTGCTTTCCGCACAAGGTATGGGCATTTTGAGTTCCTTGTTATGTCGTTTGGGTTAACAAACGCCCCAGCAGCATTCATGGACTTGATGGACCGAGTATTCCATAAATACTTGGATCGATTCGTGATTGTGTTCATAGATGACATTTTGATTTACTCAAAGAGTAAGGAAGAGCATGAAGAGCACTTGATACTCGTTCTTGAGACGCTACGGGAGAAGCAACCTTATGCCAAATTTTCTAAATGTGAATTTTGGCTAAAGGAAATTGGCTTTCTCGGGCATGTGGTTTCGGGATCGGGAATTGCTGCTGATAATAAGAAGATAGGGGCCATTACCGAATGGGAGAGACCAAAGAACGTCAAGGAAATTCGTGGTTTCCTTGGGTTAGCAGGCTACTACAGGAAGTTCGTGTAGAAATTCTCCGTTTTGGCATCACCATTGACAAAGCTCACTCGTAAAGGAGCTAAGTTTGTATGGGATGACAAATGTGAGAAAGGGTTCATTGAACTAAAGAAGAGATTGATCGAGGCACCGGTACTTGCATTACCCAAACAGGGTATGGGGTACGATGTCTATAGTGACGCGAACATCCAAGGGCTTGGATGGGTGTTGATGCAGGAGGGGAGGGTAAATGCCTATGCTTCACGAGAGTTGAAGAAGCATGAGGTGGATTACCCTACCCATGATCTAGAGCTGGGAGCAGTGGTGTTTGCACTGAAAATTTGGAGACATTGTCTCTACGGAGAGACATGTCACATATATACTGATCATAAGAGCTTAAAGTACGTGTTACTCAGAAAGAGTTAAAACATGAGACAGAGAGGGTGGATGGAGTTGATAAAGGACTACCATCTAGTTATTGAGTACCATCCAGGTAAGGCAAACGTTGTAGCAGATGCCCTCAGTCGGAAGAGTTGTCTGGGGCATTGTCGACTAGTTCGAGGGCATTGAGGGGAACTACGCTGTGCAACCAATCAAGGTCACCAATAGAAAAGTGAAGAAACTGAGGAGCAAAGAGGTCCCAATGGTTAAAGTACTTTGGAAGAGCGATCAGGTCGAAGGGGAGACATGGGAAACAGAGGCTTTGATGAGGAAGCAGTATGCTTTCCTATTCGAGTAGAGCTGTGAATTTCGGGGACGAAATTCCTGTTAAGGGGGGGTGAACTTGTGACACCGCACCCGAACGTCCTTGAAAACTTGATTTTAAAATTCAAAGTTTATGTATTGGATTTCTGATTCCCAAACGATTGTAAAACGACTAATGTTTTACGTAATTAATGATCGATTATTGTACTGTTCGAACTCGTATATAAGTATCGGGCCTTATTAATAAATAAAAGAGCCTAACATTATCTAAATATTAATACATAACATTTCAAGACAAGTTGAGGAAGGGCGGGCGGCCCAGATATTATTTTGGGCTCAACCCGCTAGAATAGCAAGTATTCGAGAATGGCGTCGTAGGCCCACTCGGGGGCGACCCACACGGCTTGTAGCCTAATAATATGAATGGCAAATGTCAAAATAAGTGATAGGATGATTTGAGAAGAATACAAATGCCTATAACCCCATCTTTGGCATTATTGAGCTAAATAATGGGAGTAGGGTTTTTCTTCTATAATATTCATCATGTAAATTATTGGGATGATCATACACATATTGGAGATCAATAATATGATGTAGAGAGTTGACTTGTTCCAAATAAATTAGAATGAGTACAAAGAGACATCTTATGACAAAGAGATCAAAAGTGAGACCCACCCATGTCTAAAAACATCTCATGGAGACCATACCAATTCATTTCACTCCACACAACTTATCCACCCTTATTGAAGGGTCTTGGACACTCCCTTAAGCCCCTCATTCGAACTCCCAAGGATAAGGGAGAAAGAGAGAGCCACACAACCAAGAAAGCAAGAGGAAGGGGAAGCTGCCGCAGGTTCGTTTTCCAGTGCGTAAGGTTACTTGTTTGCTTCATATCTCGAGTTATACACATCCAAATAAGGCGTGCGAGATACCCACAGAAAGCTCTCAAGACGAGGAATCCGTGAAGGTCTGGTTTGCATCAATCGGAGTAGTGGAAGGCTTTCAAATCGTCCGAGCAAAACACAACCTCGCGGAATACGTTTTTGTATTCAAAGTAAGTTTGAATCCAAAACCTTCCTCTCTATTGTCTAAACCATATAAATGATTGAAGAACTATTATACACTGATTGAAGTGTATAAAATGTTATTATAAAGTGACTTTAATTGTTGGAAAAGTTAGATACTAATCTAGACAAAACCTTGAAAGGTTAGGGAACGATTTCGTCGGGAAACACCCGTTCTAGGGACTGTTTTTGTGTCTTCGGTTAGGAGTTGAACTAGCACTTTGAAGAGGCTGTTTAACACTCAATTCCAAGCAAGGAATCAGTCCTCAATCTTTCTTGGCCGAGGCTTTGGTCATTGGATCGAGAAGGAAAGTTTTAAAGCTCATTTGAGGTGAGGATGACCGACTATATTGCTTATAATCCTTGGGTTAATTTCATAAGATTACCTAAGATAATTAAATGTGATTTTCATGGATTATTAATGATTAATAATGCCTAATGAAAATATTGTTGTTTATTAATAGAAGATGCATAATATACAATTTTATGAGTAAATGGTGTATAGTTATGCATTGTAAGAATGATGATATGATGAATGTATAAATCATGAATTTTTGTGATGAAATATACTTTTACTTCATGTATAGAAATCATGAATGGATAAAAGTGATATTTTGATATTGAGATTAAATCATATATGGATTTGGAAATTCATGGGAATGAGCCCTATAACTATGAATTAAAGAGCTTGGTGGCTTGAAGACAAATGGATTAGTATCGATTTTACTAGTCGGAAATGTTAGTGTGAAAGGTGATAGAACAAATCCTAAGGGCTTGAACTGTGAGAGGGGTACACCTTAAGTAGTCTTATGAGATGTCTTAAGGTAGAAATGGGTAAACGCTAAGTTACCGTAGGAGTAGGCCTCAAAGGCTACTCAGAATAGAGGAACTCTAGGCATAGAACTTGCTTAGTGAACTAGTATCGTGACTAGAGGAAGCCTCTAGCACGATGAAGAATGACTGGAGGAAGCCTCCAGCATTCGTGTAGGACGACTAGAGGAAGCCTCTAGCGTAACGTAATGTGACTAGAGGAAGCCTCTAGCACGATGAAGAATGACTGGAGGAAGCCTCCAGCATTCGTGTAGGACGACTAGAGGAAGCCTCTAGCGTAACGTAATGTGACTGGAGGAAGCCTCCAGCACAACGTATGTAAGGTGATTAGAGGAAGCCTCTAACACCAAGTGGAGTGACTAGAGTCAGCCTCTAGCACGACAAAACATGACTAGAGGAAGCCTCTAGCATGGTAAACTGATATAGATGGGTGTGGCTTGAAGTCACGGGGGAAGGGTTAAATGTTTTCAAAGTAAACATGAGCCTTCGGCCGATTACTTGACTTTATATATAAAGTAAGTATATTTGTAAAGAGGGTAACCACGAGTTATGACCTATATTGTAATATCACCCTATTTGAGGGTCTTGGAAATTGAAACGTTGATTATACTTAGTATAGTTGTCATTGTACTTGTCAAATGCTTCCAAGTACTGACCTCCCCTTCACGGGGGAGGCCACCTCACAGTTTCAGGTAGGACTTGAAGGTTGCTACCACGCCCGTTGCTTCGGGAAGATCAAAGGAGGAGGACGTGGTTCGTGCTTCTTCCGTTTCTGTTTTAAACAACTACAATAATGCTCATGGAAATTATTTTGAATACTATTTGGGGGCTTGTATGCCCATGTTTGCCACGTGTGGCTTGAATACGTGTATTAATGTTTCCGCTGCTTTAAATGAATATTTTACATTATGTTTGTTTATGGATGTACTATGTGTGAATGGTATTCAAGACGCCTAGTATAGTATGGATGAGTTGGACTGCGGTTGACTATTCGTACTGTACGGCGGGTTGTTGACGTGTCCGGTAGGTCCGGGGCGTGACAGCTAGTAGCAATTGAGTTTTGTTTCTTGCTGAACCAAGAGACAAGTCTTCCACCAATTAATTGACAAGTTCCTGTGTGACACCGCACCCGGATGTACTTGAATTTGGAATTTGATATGTATTCGAATTTCCTAACGAATAAAATTCGTGTAATTGATTGGCATATTTAATTAATGTGCGATTAATTAAATTGTTTATCGGGTCCAGTATATGTGACCGGGCTACCAAATATTTAGTTGGGTCATCGTGATAATTATAGAAACCCAAAATAAAGTGTCAACTAAAGTTGATAAAAAATATTTGGACAACCCGAGTGCTATTTTGGCCGAGCCTACCGAAAATAGCAGGAATAATTGGGAGGAACTTCCTACACCCACTTGGGGTATTTTCACACCCCATTTGACCCCAAAATAATGGGGAGGGGACAAGGAAATAGGGGAGGGGCGAGCTGGGCATGGGAGGAAGTCCCATTGAGACAAAGTCCATACCCCATGTCTTGTCCTTGGACTATTTTTGCCATTTGATTGAGAAGGCATCTTCTCATCCCCTTCCCACATTATTCTACACCACTCGAGCAAAGGATAGAGCCAGGGAGAGCTTGGAAGAAACTCTCACAAGTTCCAAGCTTGAAGGAAGCATCACAAAAGAAAATCCAAGGAGGAGAGGGTTGTTCTTGAGGTAAGAACACAACTAGTATTTCTTTAACTAGTTTATTTGATATGATTTTTAAGAAATCATATGGTGGATTAAACCATGAGTTTTACACGTTTAAAAGTGTGTAATATTGTTATTAAGTGGTGGTATCTAACTTAGAAGAGTCGTGGAATCGATAGGAGTTGAAACCGCCGGAAACCGCCAAGTGTAGGAGGCTGTTCGTAGCAGCAGACGACGAAAGCCGCCCAGCTTTCGTGAAAGCCGCCCGGCTTTCACCTTCTGCCCAGATTTTTCGCTTTCGATCGGTTCAGAACGGGGATTGATCGGAGGGCTTAACAAAGGCAAATATTTCAGCACTTCATAAGGTGAGGATGGCTGACTATATTGCTTATAATCTTTGGGTTAATTTCGTAGGATTACCTAAAGTAAATAAATGTGATTTTCATGGATTATTAATGATTAATAATGCCTAAATGAAAATATTGATGTCAATGAATA